GGAATAAGCAACACAATTCACGGTGCCATTCTTTCTTTCCCTTCATCGCCATATTTTGTAAGAAGTTTTTGTTTGTTTTGCAAGCAAACATGAATTAATATGTCCTGTATTGATATTTCAGACATTACGAGGATCTGCTTTTGGTGTATATAACTGGGGAATCTACATTGGTTACAGCATGGCATATGCCTTTGGTAACTTCATTACACAAGCTAATATTGATGGCAAAGGGTGGAGGTGGGTATTCTGGATTGCAGCTGCACCTGGGTTTGTGCTTGGATTTCTCATGCTGCTAACAATGAAGGAGCCTAAAAGAAGTGAGACGTCAAACACACAGGTATTGTAATGTTAAAGTGAAAGATGAAATTTATTTAATAGTGTAGTGTGATCGTCCAGGTGAGTGTAGTCCTGAGAAGGACTGTTGTCAGTAGTGGTGACTGACATTTTGACAACCTGAGCAGAAGTCATCATCAGAGTCAAGTGAAAGGTTTTTGTCAGTCAAATGTACTCAGTCCAGTTTGTGTACACTGATTGGTGAATTTTGCTGTGATGTTATTGGCTGTAAGACTCCAGTGGCATAGGTCAGTTGTGATTGGTTGGTTTGGATCCGTTAGTGAAGTTAGGTTGTTCTGTTCAGTTCATTTGTAATGTTAATGTCGTGGATTCATCCACCTCATCCATCATACCGACAACAGTCCTTCTCAGGACTACACTCACCTGGACAATCAAACTACAATATTACATGTTACCCCCGGGTTCAAACCATTTACTGTATGAAATTTATTGGTACATGACATTGGCACATAAGACAGACTTGATAATCATACACCACTATTTGGGGGAATGAAAACTGAACTTAACTGAGCAACAGACATCAAGTGCAAGGTGTACATGGGAATAGATAAAGTATATTGCATAATTGCTTATTTGAGAGATGCGTTGGACTGGTATGTATTTGACTCTTTCCAGGCAATTGTCACTCACCCACAGCGAGAGTTATTCAGAGAGAAGTTCCTTCTGTTATGCAGAACATTTATGCGTCCCTCCCTGCTCATCTTGTTTGTTGCTGGCTCTATAAGGAATGCCGGAGGCTATGTTTGGGCATACAACACACAACCTTACTTCAACAAGTATTACCCTAACACTAACGTGGGAGAATATATGAGCTGGATCCCTCTTGTAGGAGGAAGCTTTGGAGTAGTCCTGGGTGGATTCATCTCTGATCGTGTGATTAAAAACCGAGGCTTTTATGCCAGAGTTTGGGTCCTGTTATTCAGCCAGGTGAGTGGGAAGGATACAGATTATGAAGGAACAAGACAGGGGAGACAGAGTTTAATCTGAATGCAAACTTATAGCTAGTGGTTACCAGACCTTATCCCTGGTTCTGTGGCATTACTGACCCTTTAACTCTCAAGATCCAATAGAACATTCTCCCCTTTAATTGCTACACATTTCATTGTAAATTGGTTATGAGAATTTGGTGTTTGATCAAGGAAAGAACTCCTACCTAGTGAGTTTGAGTATTCTCATGGACTGTTTGCTGGATGATGTATGGATATTAGAGGGAGAAGTTACATGTTAATCACTTCTGGGAGTTGAAGGATTTTAGTGAATAAGAATTGGATGAAAGACCATCATGGTAGCCTCCCAGCCCCCTCTTGAATTTCAACAACCGTTAGCTGGTACCCATTTGTTTGTCCTAATGGAGAGAGACAGAGTCATGGAAACAGTGAAATGTCCTATTCAAGAATTCTTCACATTGACCCTGCCAGGCCCCACATCTAGAGTACATTGTGCTAACAATGAAACCTCCCGTTTCTCCAACATTCAAAGGGAAGGTGAACAAGCTAAGGGCAGGGGTCAATCTGCTACCATCGTTCGATAGCCTTGAAACCCCTCCCCCCTCCCCCATCCTCTCAGAGATGTCATATTTCCTCACTCCTTTTCAATGTTTGACTTCTTTCATCTTTTTCTTTCAGATAATCGCTGCCCCATTTGCTGCAGGAGCCTTATTCTTAAAGCCTCCCTGGGCCTTCATTAGTCTCATTCCCTCAAATATCATTGGTGAGATGTGGGTGGGGGTAACACTCACTGTTGTAGTTGAACTTGTACCAAACACCATCCGTTCACCGGCAGTAGCAGGTTATTTGTTCATCATCAGCATCATTGGTGGTAATGTGCCACTTCTCGTCCCACCTCTGAAGGAAGTCACCAGTCTGCGGACCGCTCTGTACATTCTTTATCCTGGTCTATACCTTCTCAGCTCTGTGTTCTTTCTCTTGACTTTGTCCTCGTTGAAACGCGATATGAGACGAGCTAAGGAGGAAGAGGAAGTGATCAAGCCATTACTGCCTGAGACATCCACTGAACATGGAGGAAAAATCCTATGATAATATGGGGAATGGGAATCGGATGAATTAGCAACCGTCGTGTTTCAGAGGCACGAGATAAATGCGTTTAATGTTTACAGTAGTATGAACTTTTAGCTTAACACTTATTTAAACAAAGAAGAGAAGTTGGGATATTTTTGTGATACTTGTCTAGCTGAAGATACAAGCATTAGAAATAACATATTGACTGAAAACGGCTTCAAAATAGACTAAACTCTATTTAATTGTATAAGAAAACTCGCGTCATTCCATCTAATTTTAATTGGATGGAATGGCGCGAAATTTAAAAATCGCAACCCGGCTCGCTCGTTTTTTCCGGCGCTTTGGGCAGTTTGGTTGTTTAGGTTGCGCTATTTATGTCGTGCATTAAAAAAGAAAAAAGTTAACTTAATTATATTGCGCTAATCATGTTATAAAACTAGGGTATCGCAATATGTTGCGATGGAATCAACCCGCCATTGACGCACCGTCCAAACAAAGTGTTGTAAGCTCGTCTAGCAAGGTTATTGGTTCATGTCCTCCGTGAGGACTTCGTCGCTATCGTCTGTCGAGGCTAGAGAGGTCGTCAGAGAATTTTTCTACCATTTAGAAGTTAAAACATGTTTTGTGTACCGCTCCTTCACTTACAACGCGCACACCGCTTGCTAAAGGCCTATCACGAATTTACCACCAGAGCGTTTATTTCAGAATGGCTAGTTTTGCCGACGGAGGTAAAAATTGCGCAAAACATTTGCACCAATCATCTTTAATTGCTACTCTTGTTTTGGCCTTGTGATTTCTCTTTTGACGAAGGTTGAAAGGATCAGCAAGTTATTTTTACTTTCTGCATCGAACACTCAAATAGCTATATTAAAGTTCAAATAGATAATAAATATAATAAAGTTCAAATAAACTCAAATAGCTCTTTAACTAATCTAAGAAAAATTGATGTAACCTATCACTTGTTCATGAAACGAGTAAAATTTGCTTTTACAACATTCTTTAGGTGTCAT